ATCCATCTCCTACTCCGCACCCTCCCCATTATCCTATCCATCTCCTACTCCGCCCCTCCCCATCATCCTATCCACCTCCTACTCCACCCCTCCCCATCATCCTATCCATCTCCTACTCCACCCTCCCTCTGTCTATACACTGCAGGAGTGCTCAGTACATATGTATTATATGTACTACAGGGTAACAGGGTAACTAATGGGAACAGGAACATTCCAACTTTTGAGATGCTCCCTTAGTCAAGAATTTTGTCTTTACCAAGTTTTTTACAGTAGGCTGTATATAATTAGCATGGCCTCTGCAGAAACAGTACATGTATATAAGTTGTTAGAACTGTCAAAACCAGACACTTCTTCCAACCAACCTGGCTGCCAATAGGCTTGAGACTGGTGCTAGTATTATGTTGTGTATCACATTTTGTACCAAAGCAACCTACATGTACATGTAAATGCACTGTAGAACCGGGTACAGTTATGTTCAATACAATTTTTAATGAAGATGAGGTGCTCTATAATGTAACCATTCATTATCGATCCATAACATGATGCCAAAACAGGGAGGTCACCCTTGACAGGGCCAAAACTATTCAACTAAGGGAAAACAGACCAACACGTATACACGAATTACAAGAAGTGGCTGATTTACATGTACATGCATCAGGGTGAGTTTGCAGATGAAGAGGTGGCTAATTTACACGTATAAGGGTCAACTAGAAGATTACAGTGCATAAAAATGTAACTGGTGCACAACTGCTATCTTTACTTACATCATGGTATGTCGGATTCTCTGATAATTCCTGGGGTCCATCTTTCACCTTTGTAACTAGGGATGATACCTCCATGGGCTCAATCAAATCAACAGATTCTGCCAATTTTGCCACAGGAAGACTCTTCTCACTCACAGCAGTCTCGTTTTTCAAAGTTGGGACATCTTGATCAATATTTTGGGCCAAAAGCTGCTCTTCAGGAGGCTTTTGGGGGGTAGTCCTGTCATCAAGAGGCTGTCCAGTGCTTGGCAGTGAACACTGATTACTAGCATCTACATGAAAATTGGCACCTGAAGCTACACTGCGAAGTTCATATTGACACTTAGTTGACTGGCTTCTTGGTCCAGAGTGNTCTTTGATCCTGTTGAACTATTCCACCGACTACCTTTTGTTCTGAGTCACTACCCTGCACACATTTAGGCACAGAAACACCACCTTCAATGCAACTAATTTTAATATCGTAGGATGCTTTAACAGGAGCATTTGGTCTTTCAGAGATATCTGATAACTGTGAGATGACAGAAATTGGTTCAACTGTGCTGTACGTAACCGAGGATGAAGTAACAGTTCTTGCTGTCTTGCTAGCTGAAGTACAATTATCTGGCTCCTGAGACAATGGCTTGATTGATGAAACTCTGTTGGGGGCAACATTACTGGTATGATTCTCCTCTACAAGACCATGGGGAACCTCAGCATTTGGGGCTGATGTTTTAGATGAGTCTGTCTTCTCACAGGGTGAATCCAATTCACTTTGGACAACACTAGCTTTGGGCGAGGAGGATGCACTTTTGTTCACTGAGGGGGCATCTTCTTTGGCCACAGAAGAGGATGGTTTTGGAAAGACTTTGTTGACGATAGACTTCAACTTTTGTCTGTTCTGCCAGGAAAAGGTCAGGGAACCCTCAACCACATCTTGTTTTACCTGAGGAGATGGAGACCTGGATACTTTATAAAGGTTACTCTCCTTTGGGGACGGTGAACGAGAAGACACAGCTACTTGGCCATGGCTGTTTTTGTCGCTGTCCTCATTTGTCTGCTTCACTGACGAAGCGGGCCTAGCTGGTGAGGAGATGGACTCTTCAGGCGAGTCAACATCCACCTGATCTGTTATCCCCTTGGCACTAATTGTTGACTGGGATTCTCTACCCCTTTCTTGAGGCACCCTAGCATGGGTACTTACATCTTCTGACTTGCTACCCTCTTTGGTTGTTCCCATGCTTAGCAAAGCCACAGCTTTTGCACGGTCTGCAACTGCTTTCTCGGCTAAAGACTTGACATAAATGTTTGTCTGTTTATTGCTCGAGCTGTTTTCATTTTTGGCACTGGTCTGACTGTCCTTTGACTTACTGGCAGAAGCAGCTGGCTCACTGGAACTGGTATGTGAGAACCCTGTGCTGTCCAGAAGATCTGTTTGATCTCTTGCTTCAGGACTCGCTTCAGGTACGTTTTTTGCAGCAGAATTTAATGCCAACTCTGCAGCAGGACTTCTGTGAATTTCAGTGCTGGTAAGCGCACTTTTCTCCTTTGACTGAGACAGGTTCCCAGCATCATTGGCAGGAATTTTAGATGCAATATGTGATGGAGTTTCACTCTTGTCTAACTTGCAAGTGTTAGAGCTGCTGTCTGAATTGGGTTTAGCAGACAACTTGGAAGTGTTCTTTTCTGATGTCTCAGTCATGCACTGTCTTTTTTCCTTTTCGCTCAACAAGGTGGACTCAGACTGCAGTCTTCTGTCTTTTTCAGGCTTGGAAGTTTCCTTGCTTTCACTTTCCTTTTCCTTCTCCAGTCCTTTCTTATCAGATGAATAAACTTCCTTTGGCAATGTATCCAATCTGCTGGAGTAATTTACAGTTACATTCCTGCCACTGTCTTTACTTACATTTGCCGGGCTAGGATCTTTTGAGCACGAAGCTAGCTTTGCAGTGGCCTTGTCTGTGTATCTGTCAAAGCGAGCAGCAAAGGAGGCACCTCTGTTGCTGAGAGATCCATCCCTCCAGCGTGGAATGTGCTCCTGATCTTCACGCCTGTGGTGACTCCCTTTCTTGTAAGTACTCCTCTGGTACAGGGAGTCTGGATCACCCTGCTGGTAACCTCGCGAGGCCTGAAAGCTTGTATCCCTCCTCTCATTGTGCCTTCCAAGACCTTCCCTAGAATTTTGTATCGCTGAGAAGTCATGTCGCTGATGTCCCTGAGATCTAGGTCGCTGGTAGTATTGATGATCACTATATCTTGTTGGTTCGCTTTGCCGATAGTCTCGGTCCTTCGATCGTGACCTCTCTCTGCCATTCAGGGCTAAGAGGTCTCTGTCTCTATCATAATGAAATGCACCCCGATCTCCACGAGAGGCGTATGTATCAGAGAGCCTTAGCCTCTTTTCTGGAAGTCTCCCAGGGTCTCTGCTGGAATTTGGGTAGTCCGACCTATTGGGTTGGAAATCTCTCACAAGCTGAGTAGTGGATTTCTTAGCAATCTGCTTTTTGGCTATTGGATGGGGCACTGATTGTCTCTCGCTCTGATATGCAGATGAGATCCCTGTCTTACTCCTTGCATCACCATTAGATTTTGTGTTCATACTAGACTTTCCTGCAACAGACAAAATGGCCATTAGCACCAATATTAAACCCTTGCCTCTCTACAGGCCAGTAGTAGAGTTTAATCTTAAAACTCAAGAAATTTTGGATAGAACATTCTGGAATATGCCAAAATTCTGCAGCAGATTCTCAAAACAAAGCTTGGCCTATTACGCTCGGATTACATGTAAAATTAATGGAAGTGGGTTCATACATGTACAATCCCTAGTTAAACAAAGCACCTACAACATAGTCTGAATAGTCTGAAAAATTCAGAAGTGAGATAACCCTGAGAATCAGGTCAAATTTAGAACACAGCCCTTGTTCTTTGGAAACCACTTTATTCCATACATATTTTCTACATGGTACTGGGATGTACAGTGTATGGGATTTTTCAGGAGAAAAGAAGTTTTGATTCCGGTTCATTTGATACTTACTTGGTTTTCTACCTCGCGCTACAGAATCCTTAACAAAGTAGCTACATGTACCAGGAAGCTTGCAGAGAATGATCCTCCTATAAAACAAAACACACACACACAAATCAAGCAACAATGCTCCTTTCTGTATTAAAGGGAAAACGGTCATATTTTCATTTCTGCATTTCAGGCACTTGTACATGTAATAACAGATATCAACATGAACAAATTAAGAAGGAATTTTCGACAAAAAGGATCTGTTGCAACATACACGTAATAAAGAAACAAACGCAAGCAAATATGGACCTTGGAAACACAAAATATTCCTTTTTAGAAACAAAAATGTCAAGATTTGACAAGGAAGTGGTACACCCAGATTCCAGAATAAGTCACAGGGCGTGGACGTGTAAAAGGATCTGTAAATGAACTGTGCGCAACTTATTTTATCCACAATTTCTGATGAGAAGAATTCCATTTGAGAGATTACCGGGTACATTTTAAAAACATGCAATGAGGACTGTCTGCAGACAAATTGGAAATGTACTAATTTTTCTATAAACAAGCACTGTAAAAATGGAAACACAAATCTGAAAGAATACCAGAAGCCTTCATTCACCACTGGAAAAGTTACTTATGTGGACCAAATGGTGGTTTTGGAAATTTTTTACTGTTCCATTTGTAGACCCACTGAAGCTTGAGCTCTAGACTGAATCAATCAGCCCTCTCTGCCCATAATTCAGGACATTTCAAGACAGATCTCAGAAAAATTCATGTACGCATCTATCAACTGTAGCCCCTCCCCCAGGAATGCATTCTTAAGCGACCCCTTAATTGAATGAACACCACCCACATTGCTCATTTTGCTCTGGTTGAGAACATTTAGAAATTATTCAAATTTTCAATATTTTTAAATTTCAAATTTTTATTTTTAATTGTTTTGACCCACCAACCCACCCCCCACTCAAAAAAACCCTGATTTTATTTTATTCAGTATTGTACATTACGCATGGTGGCGGCCATATTGTTTGCTGCGACCCAACGCGCGTGACCGCATGACAAATTCCTGTTACAGCATTCCCTGATATAATGTTCTTCTCAATATAAAAGCTCTTTTTTCGCATCCATGGCTGTTCTCCTGTTAACTGTGTACATTTAGTTTTGTTACAGCACTCTCGTTTACAGCACATTTCCAAATATTATGCCCCAGAAGAAGACGTGCAAAATATCGACATGAATGTTTTTTGTATTAAACTGCAGTGCATCAGCTGAAAATGGGTTGCCTTCATGGACCGACCCCTGCTTTGCTCGGTCCAACAGTCTAACAGAAAATCGGGCTTCACATCTTAGTTTTAGCAGGCTATCATCCTGAAATACTTCACCTTCAGAGTGCTGAAGGGATGTCATCATCTTGTGACAAGATATTCCAGGACTTGTTGCCTATATTATATACATGTAGTCATCCTGAGGATCTAAACAAGTTAGATGGAACTTCCAGAACTCTGTTAACAGAGTCACGTACTGGCGTGCAACCCACAGTGCCAATTCAGCCCAGTGAGGCAAATCTCCCAATCTGTAATTGTTGTGGAGGCTCCGCGAACAGTGGCAGAGCTACAGTAGGTTAAATCAAATACAGGCATTCAAAGAGACAGAAGAAACTGTGTATTCCATTGTATCCCTGTATCTTAATGAACCTGGATCTGCCCTTGTTCAATTCATCAGCAGCCCAAAATGTACTTTCCATTCTTTGCAACTGTACAAAGATAAATTTGTCTCTGCTCAATTACCTTGACTTCCAAGACCAGACCAGCAGGGACTCCTCCGGGTCAAACTTTAGCAACTTGACACCGCAAGCACGAGTCTTGTGTTGCTGCTCAACAAATCCGTCCACGGTGTTCTTGGCTCTTTCAATTGATGGATACGTGTTACTGCTTGCACTGTCCTTCGTTCTTTTGTCCAACGTTGTAGCCACCAAGTTAGTTTTCTCTTTTTGCAATGCTATGATTAAAAGATAAAAAATTAAACTGCATGCATGAATTACTGCTGCAAAACTGAAGATTTTTTTTTTAATCATCCCACATACATCGTTATTTGCCCTCTGAGAGAGCCAATGTGGTTCCCAAAGAAAAGCCTCAATTACCGGTAATTAAATCCACATTACATGTCTAACAGCTATCATGCTGCACCAACAAGTATCACATGTACATGTACATGTAAGCAGTTCTTTGATGCGCAAATGAGCTGAGCCTGAGCCCCCGTCATGTGCGAGGCACAACTCACTCAATTTACTTGTACCATCGAATGGAACTTCTACTTGCTGTGGAATGGAACTTCTATTCTTCTGGAGCAGCCATAACTGAATGTTGGGGGGGAATACTCATTGACATATTATCCCCTACCCACCAATCAGATGACAAATACATGTACACACATGTATTCAAGCATGTACACTTACATGTACATGTATGCAATGGAGAACTACTGGTTCATGTACATGTATTTTCAGCCACGTTTGAAATACCACACAGTCATTCAGTGTGGAAGGCACGACAGTTGCCATACAGAAATTTTGCTGTTACCTGAACATGTACATATATTTGTGTTTTGTCACAGAGACTGGAAGGCTACACAGCACTTCTCATCATACATGTACACGTACTTGTACATGTATGCCATTTAACTTACGAGCGAGTTTTTTCAAGTTAAACACTTATCCAGACGTTTTGCTTTCAAATGAAAACATAACAAATAAGTACCGGTAAGTGTGAAAATCTTGATCCCTTAAAACATTATTCCACCACTTTTCCCCAGATTACAATGAACCAAATAGTTTTCAAACACATTGAGCAGGACCAGTAGTCCATGAATTGGCTGTTAGCAACAAAAATCCTTTAATTTAAGCCACCAAGAATAATCCGCCAGCTTCACCAATAGATCTTGTGCACGGGGAAGCTATTTTTTATCATGTTCACTGACTCTATCATATCCAGCGTAATTTGTTAAATGGTGGTGATGTCAGACTATTTTGGGTTCTAAAACAAACTGTCTTTTTTTTAAAATGTGAATCAAAATTTCTGATATACACGTACTGTGATTTACATGTATTATAAATATTAAATTATCACAAACAAAACCTGGCATGAATTTGTATGAACTTTGACTTTTTTGCTGGTATTTTACTTAAGGTTCCCCAAATGAAAAGTTTTACCTCACTTTCAATTCAGGATGGCTGACACACGAATGTACAGTCTACTGTGGCCAGCACAGGTGTTGTTTCTTGTTTAAGTACACAGACATGTAGGTGTTGAGAAATCTTTGATAAGGCCGCATAACATTTCACGCACTGTATATTTTTATGCCGGAGGGTCATTGGAATCCCTGGAATATCCCTCGCTGTGCAGCACAACCTTAGGCCCAATAAGCCCTGAGTAACAATCCTTGAAGTACCCCCTTTTTTAGGGATTAATTTTGCAGCATGGTGGTAATGATCAGGAATTTAGGGAACGAAAATAATCAAAGTGTTTGTACTGACTTTGGTTTGTTTCTCAAAGCACATGTACATTTGAATTCAGTTAACTGTTCATTTTATTCACCAAGAAAAGACCGATCAACAGCTCATCAGCAAGTCTGGTCATTTAGAGAGTCGTACATATACATACATTTCCATGTTAGCCTTTTCTCAAAAGAGACTTAATTTTTATGTAATAACAGAAACACGGTGAGGTACATGGAATTTGTGTGAAAAGTGTGATAACATGCAGAATTTATCCCAGGCTGACATTTACACTACAAATGTAAACAGCACAATCTACATGCACTGGTTTGTTTATACTGGTAATTCTCCACTCCGCTGAATTCTCATTTTACCTTTTCAACTTGATGCTAAACTTTCCTTAATCCAGTACCAGCAATCTTTTAAAATATTAATGTATTCAAGCACTCATTTCTAAGTGGTGGCTAGACAGCTACATGTAACCTTTTATTTTCCCAAACAGACAATCTGTTAACCCTCAGTACAGTTTAACTTTTCTGTTAGGCTCAGCAGTGGAATTCCAAGGGCCGGGGAGTTGCCTCCTAGAAACATCTTACTTATTGAAAGCTTGCGACTTGAAGCTTTTCATGATGGAAGAAAAGCAATATTGGTACTATCATCTGACCAGGCTAAGAAGGAGGATGAGGTTTCCTATGGGTGAAGCAAATCTCAGTCATTGAGGGTAAATATTCAACATTACAATCCCCCAGCCTCCCCTGACCCTGATATGCCACAGAAGCTTGCCGTCTTTCCAAGGTGAAACACACATATTAGTAATATTTTTTTTAGTAAAAAAAAAACAAAAAAAAAACCTATACCAGTACTTTACCTTGTTTAATGTGATTCTTCGTTCGCCGCCTCCTGTGAGCAAAAACACATAAAATGTATAGTCAGGGCCAGGCATTGGACCAATCACACATGCTCAACATATGCTGACCAAACTTGTTCACTGTGCAACAACTCAACTGCACTGTACAACTAGAAATAACAATACATGTATATATTGCTTGGCCATTTCATTATCTGTGTGTGGAGAAGCAAAACGTGCCTAAAAATGCAAAATGGTAATTGCAAATAGCGACAACAGCATGGGAGCAACTGATGCACTTGTTCGCAAATACACACGTACCTTACACGTACAACACATTGTGCTTTTATACTTCTACTTTCCCAATCGTCTTCCTTGACCACTTGTCGACAATTTTATTTTGGAATGAAAATCCCACTTTCGAAAAGGGAAAGATGTATCAGCTAACTACAGCAAAATACTTGTACATGTACACTAGAGACTGATCACTGAAAGTCATTTGCACTATGAACATATACTGGAGGGCAATATTCTAAACGCAATCTCAAAATTTACAAAAATAACAGGACCAACCACAAAGCAATAACTGTAACTTTTTTGTAAAACAGCCAAGTTCAAGTTTAACACAGAGTCCATCCCCATGGGCTGGGACACTGTGTACATGCCGCAGAAAACAAAGGGGATATCAGGTGTGCTACCATCGAGGGCTCAGGGGTACAGTTGACCTTCTATTACCACTGACCATGCATACATTTAGATTGTCTGATCTTGTTTTTCACATCCTCCGGTGTCAACACCAGCAATGGGAGGATCTGGATCCAGCCTACATGTACATGTTATTTTCACTTGGGTCTCGATGTTCAAGGCTGCATTTGTCTCACACATAACACACTGATTCTAGTGAATTGCTTCTACAAGTATGTCCACTTGAGAGACCATTGTGAAAGGAAACCATTTGCCAGTTCCTTTCTATACTTGAACTTTTAAAGGGCACCCAACCGTAACATACAATGCAACTTTGGCTGATGGGCTCTACCAGTACATGTACTGTACCTTCCTCAATCCTGCAAAATCCCCCCCCCAACCTCCTGGTGGACATTACTCTGGATAGATTAGGGATTGAACCTTTAAGCTACAGACCGGCAAGTTTATAGAATTACGAATCAAAGTGGTAAATATGTTTAATCCCTATAACTTCAAAATGCTGTGGCACTGTGCTAACTTCAAACTACATGTACAGATGTACATGTAGCAAGGTTTCTGTGGTCCCACATGCAACACAAACAACATGGTGCTGACAACAAGACTTCTCGTAACTGGTCGCATGTAACACGTACAGTCAGTCCATTCAGGATGTTGCAATGTAAAACAGCGATGCACATGTATAGGCCTAAAGCTTAAAAACCTGCTTCATTCTTGATATATTCATATTCCTTTCATATTCCGTTTCAATGATTTATGCTGGTGACAGAGGAAGACAGCGGGCATGTACATGTATGATACGATACGTGTTCGGCATACTAGCATGCCATTTGAAACTGTGGAGCAAACATGGTTACCATTATAGAAACTCTGGGTTTGCAATGCTCTGTCCAACTTACACATGCAAAATACTTTGGTCAAAGTCCTTGTGAAAGAGAGAGTTGGGAGCTTTTCAAGATGAATGCCTCCACTGAATACAACAGTGGATCTAGAGCACCTTAAGTTCGGGCACTATGCACGTTCTATGTTTGAACAAAGACTACTACAGGGCTAGGCATGCATGTGCCTTGGGCAGATGGTTTCCTGTAACACCTGAAACTGAATAGCAACATGCAAATAAAAGGGAAGTGGACTTTTCATTTGAGGGAACCACAGCTCCATTGCAAAGCTGGCGTTGCAGATACATTTACCGGCACCCACTCTGTGGAAATGAGTCACAAGTCACCACGATCACTTTTGAGTTTTAGTTTGTAATCTGATTGAGGAAACTGAGCTCTTTGTTACGACATGTCACTCAGTTTGGAATGATGGAAATGGATGTTGTGTAGATTATTTTAAAACGAGGATTCCTACTGCTTAAACACTGTGCAAGATTCTTTCAACGGCCTTTAAATCAAAAGTGGCTCTGGCGACAAGTGACTCATTTTTGCAGAGTGTGGGTCACATACATGTAAATGATTGTACAAAGTAAAAAATCTATAGTTTAGGTAATTCTGGCTTTTTATGTGCGGAGATAATGCCTCTCTTTAAGAGTATAGCCGCCAGCAAAAGTCCATAATGAAACTACTACTGCTGATCTCATGAAACAAAATTGCTTTTGCTTTCAACTAAACAGTTTCAGAGCTGCCACATACCAGTACATGTACATATAATTCTTACTGTACTACTCTGTAAAAGGGCACACGATTTCTGATCATCTTTACAAAATAATCACATGTCCTTGCTCTATGATGTAAATCTGCTAACAAGGGCATGAAACGCCTTTCACAACCCGCAAGAAATTCTTCTGCGCCAGTGGAGGCAATTTTGCAAAATGCATGACAACACCAGCTGAGAAACCACAGGGCATGAACATTAATTTCCTGCCACAAGGCAGTCCAGCTGTGGGAAGGCAGAAAGAAAACTGGCATGCTGCCAAAGACGTCACTCGGGGTTTCAGTTTTCCCGTGTGGGAGGAGGTACTGGATCACCCCATGCTGCAAGAGCTAATCAGAATGGCTTGGGGGTTTTGCTGTTCATGCAGTGGCTGCATGCTCAGACAGCTTGTTCCCTCAACAGGAAATATGGCGCCTGTAAAACCGGTAACCATCACTGGAGAATTAACGTGGGAAAAAATAATGCCCTCAGATCTCATAGGACCTTCTCTGGATTATCACTGCCTGCTAGAGCTTATGCTATCAAATAGCAAGACTGTTCAATTTCTAGTGTCTGAGTATCCAGTACATTCATCTTATCTCTGAAACTTCATCTTGCATGTACTTGTCCAATGAAGCTTGATAATAAGTTGATTTCATTGCCCACAAACGAATTGTTCTTAAATTCCGCAGTTCTCAATTCAAGTTTAAAGCATTTGAAAAAGTATGGGACCTTTATCATGGCGACACATTTTATTTTACTCTTTCCTGAATTTTGCAAATCAGATTCCACATTGCCACTACGTGTACAACTACGCACATTCCAGTCCTTTTAAACACATTTTTTTTTCTACCTCACAAGTACATGTACATGTATTTGTGCGCTAGAACTTCAGATGTTTCCAACACTGCCTTCCTGCTTTCTTACTGTTTGGGGAGAGAATTGTCCTGATTCAACTGCACTTCCTTTTACCTCTAGTGACCTTGGGAAAGCCAGGACATGGCTGTTGTCATTGCGATCTACATTGTACATGTATGTACATGTACACGGTCATTTCTACCGGGCGCATCAACAAAATTTTAATGACATGTGCTACCCTGTTTATAAATTCTTCTAACACAATGACAGAAAGTCAACTGCATAAATGAGAATACACAAGTAAAAAAACAAACAAAAAAATGTGTGAACTGATGCTTCTTATTTCAATGTTTTGTTATTGTGCAGAGAAAAATGAGCTACATGAATATATATGTATGTGTACAAAAATTATTTCTGGATGCACCAGTAACCCATGGCACTGACCCACATGGGGACAAAAACATTTTAAGTCCTAAATTTAGTTGAACAAGTGCCCTTTGGAATTTGAACTAGTCTCCAGTAACTGCAGTTCTGACGCGACGACCTCGATGACCTCCTGCAGTTGACAAGCTTCCCTTTGTCCCAATTTTATGTCTCTGTGGTGGTGATGTCTAGCAAGGCACAGTACATGTATGTAAACTATTTGCTATCACGGCAATATTAACGATGCAAACTCCTCAAAAATCTTGATGAGGAAGTGCATACGGAAGCTTGTCCTACCGGGTACCTACAGATCAAAAATCCAAAGCTACAACATAGAATTAATTTAATGTATGCTTGCCACACATTATGAATATTATTAAGTGGAATAAGGGAGATCCAGTCAAGCTGCTGGATTCCGTTTTATGGTAACTCTGTGAGGCCACATGAGCTGCCAATCAAGCTACATGTACTGAATATGTACTACTTGTACTCACTGCATAAGCCTGTGGATAAGCCCATGGATAGGAGGCTGGCAAAAAGCCTGTCAAATAGAGCTGGACTGGTTATTCTGTGGCCAGCAGCTCACATCGTCCTGAAAATTTAATGCATCCCATTTCACTCTTCTACAGGAGTGCTACCTTTTGCTCTGAGCAACCACACAACTGTCAGAATTTTTGTTTTAATAAAACCAAACCATAGCATGCAATCATCACTAAATATGGAATCAAATTGGCCAATAATTTGCCTTGTATGCATGAACATGTACATGTAAGTACACATCCATGGAATGCACACACCATTAGCCTCACCATACTGTGTAAAATAACAAGGCTAACTGTGTACTGGCCGGTACAGAACATGGGTGCTTAATAACCTGATTGATAGGCATCAAGATGTGGGCAGGTACATAAGCAAACTCCATGGTCTAGGGTCTTCTGCCTTCACAAATAAAATTGAATTGCTCAATGCATGATTAAAATGGTTTCTATGTATGGGTCATTTAAATTTGATGTCCAAAAGTGTAACATTTTGGTGTCTGTTACACCCAACCTATGTTATTTCACATGTCAACATGTATCACTGAAAATGCCTAGAAAGTATGTTTGGCAGGCACTTTGCATTACTTAATCCCTCTTGAAAATTAAAGCACATATGTTCCCAACTTGCAAAATCACATCAGATGTGACAAAGACACAAAACAATTGGCCCTCAAATCTATGGAATGACCAAATTTAACATTTCCTTCAGCTGCTCCAGTGTTTTAATGTTCAACTTACTTTGCTGTATGCCCATCAAAATGTATTGCATACGTCCTCCAAGGTTCCTTCTCATAAATACACACCTTTCACCCCAGTAACCCTATTACATGCAGCAGAGGCCATAAGTTAATTTTGCTGATCAGCACTTTTTATGTACAGGTGCAGTCCAACACTCA